GTGCCGGAGGCCCCGGGGGGCCAGGCGTCTATGACGTCTCCTGGCCAAACCCCAATTGGCGGAGCCAGGAGATTGAATCTCTACCCTCGGGGCTCCTCCAGAAACAACGAAAAACCACTACGGGTGGCCACGTGGAATGTTCGAATGCTCACTGCGGAGGAGAGGCTGCCACTCCTCTGTCGGGAGCTGGACCGGTACCGCCTGGATCTATGTGGCATTCAGGAGGTCCGGTGGACCGGCTCTGGCTCCTGCCACCATGAGGAGTGGACAGTCCTTTACTCGGGGCAGCAGACTGCCAAACAACAGGGTGTGGCTCTTCTTTAGAACAAAAGAATTAAGGGGCGTGGGAGCGTGGCGGTGAGGTGTGGGAAGCTGTAAGCCCCAGGCTACTTTGGGCTCGCCATCCCATCAACCGGAGGCGAGGAATGGTGGTCGTGGTTACTTATGCCCCCACCGAAGATGAACATCCGTGGAGGGATGCAGGCAGAGCCGATGAGTCAGATGCCTTCTATGACCTCCTGTCACAGGAGCTGGCTCAAGTGGCCCCTCGGGATAGAGTCATCTTGTTGGGTGACTTCAATGCCCGAGTTGGCCATGATACTGGCAGCTGGTCTGGAGTGATTGGAGGGCATGGGCCAGATCAGCTCAATAACAACGGTAGGAGGCTGCTAGATTTTTGCGCAGCCCATGGGCTTGTAATTACCAACACGCTGTTCCGGCATCGGCGCATCCACACAACATCATGGATGCATGCCGGGTCCAAGCAAGAACATCTGCTGGACTACATAGTGACGGACCAGCAGATGCGAGCCCATGTCCTTGACACCAGGACCTACCGTGGAGCTGATCTGCCCTCTGACCATCGACTAGTCATCTGTAAGATGCGCCTGTCATTCTTCCACTCCAATGGTGGGTGTACACCCAGGACCCCATTCCAACCTAAAGTGGCCTGGTCTCAGTTATCTGAAGAAAGTTGCAAGCGAGAATTTCATCATCGCTTGCGGCTGGGATTGGCATCATCCCCGACTCCTCCTGATGTCGAGGGTAAATGGGCGAGGTTTATGACTGTGACTCATGCAGCTGCAATGGCTGCTTTGGGTACGTGGTCCAGACCTCCCCAGAGACCCTGGCTGACAGAGGAGGTGTTCAGGATGGTTGAGAAAAAGCGACAGGCCCACTGTCATCGGCTACAGAATCCCACGACAGAGAATGAGGAGGCTTACCGCAGCCTTCGCTCGGAGGTTCGGAGAGCTGTGAGGCACTGCAAGGATGGGTGGTGGTCGCGGGTTGCTGAGGAGATGGAGTCTGCCTCAGTGGCCGCGATCACAAATCCCTATTTAACTCCATCAAAAATGTAACCTGCAGCACCACACCTATTACCATCATTAGGGGAAAAAACGGTGACCCAGTCTCCGACCCCCAGGAACAGGTTTGCAGATTTGCTGAGCATTTCTGTGAGGTCCTGGGGGAGGGAAAATCCCTCAGCCAGGAAAACATCGTGGCACAAAGTAAGGATGACCCTGCTGAGGCTGTGGTGCCTCAAATATTGGAAGAATTCACCCCCTGTGAGTGGCTGGCTGAGGTGCCATCTGTTGAGGAAGTACTGAAGACGATCCGGAGTCTGAGACCAGGAAAGGCAGCGGGCAGAGATGATCTCTCAAGCGAAATGCTGAGGGAGGGCAGCGTTTGTGCACAGACTGCCCTACATGACATCATAACAACAGTCTGGACCACTGGACGGGTTCCACAGGATTGGAAGGATGCCCTGGTGGTCCCCCGTTTTAAGAAGGGGGACCGCACAGACTGTAATAACTACAGGGGCATCTCACTCCTCAGTGTGCCGGGAAAGGTCCTGGCAAGGATTATTCAACATCGCCGTGCCAGGCACGCTGAGGAGAGGCTTGCGGAGCCCCAATGTGGTTTCAGGAAAGGGTGGTCCTGCACAGATGCCATATTTTCTGTCCGTCTGCTACAGCAGAGGTGTAGGGAATTCCAACAAGACCTACATCTCTGCTTTATTGACCTGGTCAAGGCCTATGATACCATCAGTAGGCCTGGGCTCTGGGTTGTTCTTCGTGCTATTGGAGTACCTGACCCTCTGCTCACCATCATTAAGGACCTTCATGATGGTGAGCGGGCCCGGGTAAAACTACGTGGCCGGGAGTCAGAGCCATTCCCTGTACACCTTGGGGTGCGACAGGGATGTCCTCTGGCTCCTACATTATTTAACATCTATTTTGACCACGTAGTTCGTGAAGCCTTCAATAGCTGTACCGGGGGAATCTCCATATGGTACAGATATAATGGGAGGCTGATCGATGCCCGGGTGCGGTCAAGGGATGGCTCCCTATTGCTCAACCACGTTATGTATGCTGATGATTTGGTAATAGCTGCTCATTCACAGGGGAGTTCGAGACACTGCTGCTGAGACTGGAGCGTGCCACTAAGAGGTGGGGCCTTACTATCAGCCCCACCAAAACAAAGCACCTGCCTGGGTATT